GGTGCTGAAGGTGGGCCGCTTGCGGGGGTCGTACTCCCAGCAGCGCTGCATCAGGCGGTACACCTCCTCGGGACACTGCTCGGGGGGGTCCAGTCGCACGCCTGGGGGGTGGCAGGGACGGGGACATGGCCACTGGTGCCTCGCCCCCCCCAAAGCCCCACCCCGTGATCTCAGCTCTATTGTAGACCCACGGTGCTGGGCCCATAACCCTCAAGAGCCGGACCCCTTACCCTGCTCCACCGCCTCTCGCGTCTGCTGGTTGCTGAGGTTGGCATAGGGGACAGCGCCCAGGCTGAAGGCTTCCCACAGCAGGATCCCGAAGCTCCAGACATCGCTCTCAGAGCTGTACCGGCCTGGGAACACAGGGCAGGAGGGATGCTGGTGGCTGGGGACATCCATGGCACTGTTGGTCTAGCCATGCCCATGCTGGTGAAGGCCAGGATGCCCTGGAGTCTCACCTCCCTGGACTCCTGGCTCCCTTCTGTGGAGCTGTGGGGCTGCTGGGCCATGCCCAGCTCCATTCCATACCGTAATTGAGTGCTTCAGGGGCAGTCCACTTGACAGGGATCTGCTTCATGCCCCCTGTGGAGGCATAGATGCCATCCTCCTCCTCCCGCGACATCCCAAAGTCACTGATCTTCAGGACATTCTTCTCTGTCACCAGGCAGTTGCGAGCAGCCAGGTCCCTGAGAGGGCACAAAGCCATCAGCTGTGCTCCTGACCATCCCCGGGGGCCTCTGCCTGACATGAGACAGGGGGCAGCAAGAGTTGGGGGTCCACCCTGCCCTGCCTGGCACCCGCCCATGCTGGAGCTCACCGGTGGATGCAGTGCTTGCTCTCCAGGTACTCCATGCCAGCTGCAGCATTTTCCGTCATCTTGATCAGGTCCTTCACCCGCAGGTGGGGCCCCTCACTGCGCAGGAAGCTCAGGAAGTCCCCCCCTGCACCCAGGATGGCAGAGCTGGCTGGTGGCTGCCCTGGCACACCGTGGCCAGCTCACACAGCCTAGCACTGGCTGCCTCAGCAGCACAGGAGCTGCAGGACATGGCTGCTCACCCTGCACCAGCTCCATGACGATGTAAATGGGCTGCTTCTGGGTGCAGACTCCGATCAGCCGGACGATGTTGGGGTGATTGTACTGCTTGAGGATCCTGCAGGGGCAAAGAAGGACACCACGTGCAAGGGACCACCTCTAGGGTGCTCTGCCTGCCCATCCTGGAGTTGTCCCCTCAGCACAAAGATGCTGCAGTCCAGATGGGTTTGAGCAGCCCCAAGTCCTTAGGACAGACAGACAGGCTGGGACAAGCGTGACAGCTGTACAGACCTGGCTTCCTGCAGGAACTTGGCTTTGATTTCGGGGGGGAGGGTTTCCCGGCAGGATTTCACAGCCACGGGGGTGTTGTCAGCACGCAGGCGGCCACTGAACACTTCCCCAAAGTTACCCTGCCAAGGGACATGGGTGTACTGGCCCAGCTTGCCACAGCATGGCCCAAAGCAACCTCTACCTTCCCACAGACCACACGGGACAACCCTTTCCCCTTCAGATCCCACAGGACAGCCCTGTGCTGCCTCCTGCAGAGCCTGCACAGACACGGACCAGAGCCCTCCCAACTCACCCGGCCGATGCGCTCCCCCAGCAGTACATCCTCGTGGTTGAGCACCCACTTGTCCTGCAGCGGGCAGACAATGAGAGCTGTGAGCCAGCACCCCCAGGCCCACATCCCCATGTCCCTGCAGCTCTCGCTTAGACCACCTGGAGGGGTATCCTCAGCCACCAGGACCCCCCCTGGGGCTGAGTCACCCTGTCTGGCTGCAGGAGCCACTCGGGGCAGAGGCCAGACATGGCTGCCCCGTGCTCCTCGTCCCTCTCCCCACCTTGGGCACAGCCCGGGCCAAGACGATCCCGCTCTTGCGGGTGATGGGCTGCTGGCTCTGCAGGAGGTGCTCGACGAGCAGCGGGATGGTGGGGAAGCCTTCCCCCTCCAGCCGGTACATGCTCTGCGGGGAGGAGAGGCCGAGGGGTTTTCCTGCACGCGTGGGTGTGCTCACGAGGGCTGGCGTGCAGCCCAGCACAGGGCAGGGGACACGCTGGCACACCGGGTGGGGGGAGCTCTCACCAGCGGACGTTCACACACACCGCGTGGGGCTCAGCCCCCGCGCCTGCCCCGTTCAAGGACGGGCAAA